AAAACATAAGGACCTGGCAGAGACACAGGTGTGCCATGAGCCACAAGCCACAGTCACCTGGCTATACAAGCACGAATCAATTAGATAACCTTGTTGTTATAGTTTGGATCTGAAGTGTTCTTCAAAGACCACATGCTACGGCTTGATCCTCAGGGTTTCAGGGTGGTGCTGTGAAAAGGCAGTGGAACCTTTGAGTGGTCAGTTAGCATGCCCATCCAGGACTTCAGGTTCTTCCTTCTCTCTTTGACTCTTGACCATGAGGTAAGTGGTTTTGCTCTTCATATGCTCAACTTCTGGTGTGCTGCCCTGTCACAGGCCCAAAACAGTGGGGTCAGCCCATCATGGACTGGAACCTCTGTAACTGAGCTTAAAGAGACTCTTCTCTTTATAAGCTAATTATGTCAGCTATTTTGCCAGAGTGATAGAATGCTAACACATGGCCTTTAATCCTAGCACTTAGGAGGCAGAGGCAAGCAGATCTCTGTGTGATTGAGACCAGCCTGGTCTGCATAGCTAGTTCCATGGTTTGTTGTAAGATTAATGTAAAGATTGAATCTGAACACTAAGTGCCCAGGCAGGTGCTGACTGCTTAGATTTCTGGGATTTATGGAGAAGTAATTTGATTCTCTGAGCTTTATCTTCCTTATCTATAAATGGGAACAGTGTGGCTCATTGTAATGGAGAAAAGCAGTCTCTGGGGTCAGATTACTCAGATTCAAGTCCTGATTCTGCCACTAAGTGGTGTTTGATATTAGGGAACTTCATCAACATTTTTGAGCCTTTGGTTTGTGTGCACAAAATAGCATTAACCCCAGCACCTATCCTGTAGGACTGCTAGGACAATCAACTGAGCTCATGGGTGTAAAGTGTTCAGAACAGCACCTGGCACTCAAGTGCCCCCTAATGCAATAGCAGTTATAGTGGTTATCTGCTTAGATGCCTTGTGAGCAAGCTGAGTCACCAATTTCCCTTCAGTTCTTTTCTAATTGTTACAATATTAGCATACTGTGAGTCTTCTGCTTTGCCTTGACTTCATGTCCAATGTTCCAACAACATGAAGTCCTTACTACACCTTTGAGTCCCTGGATCCAGTTGTTCCTGAAGCCATTACTACACCCGAACTCAGTTATATGAACTAATGCATTTACTTTAGTCTCATTCCTGGCACTTGCTAGTCAGAAGTTTTATTTCCAGAGCACAGACTATCAATAAGTAACACTTCAGTTTTCCATCACTGCTGCATGCATGTCTTAGACCATTACTGCCTTTGCAGAAGGTGTTTGCTATGGTTTGAATGTGAAATGTCACTCATAGACACATGCTTTTAAGCACTTGGTCTTAGTTGGTGGCCCTGTTATGGAAGGTCGTGGAACCGTTAGGAGATGGAGCTTCACTAGAGGAAGTGAGTCACAGGTGACAGGAACTGAGACTGTCCACTTTCTGTCTCATGTCTACTTCTGGGCTATATACAATGTGAGAATCATTCTCCTGAGGCCATTCTGTGCCCACCACAATGGACTGTATCCCTTCAAACTGCAAGCCAAAGTGACCCCCCCCCCTCCTTACGTTGCTTCTTGTCAGGTATTTGGTCACAGCAATGAAAAAAGTAACTCACTATTTAAAAAGAAGGATATAAAGTTGGGAGAGGGTAAGGGGTGAGGAGTTAGGTGCAGGAGTGAGGGTTGAATATGACCAAATTTATATGCATTTATGAAATTCTCAAAGGATTAATAAAACGTTATATTTTTTAAAGAAACACTTATGAGAATTTTTAAAAAGAAAAGCAACTCACACAGGATCCTTTGGATAAACTTTGAAAGTGAAGCAGGTTGGGTCTAGAAGTCCAATAATAAAGTGAGGCCCAGAAGTCCTGCCCATCTCCTGTGGTATGCTACAGAGCAGTCAGCTGCAAAGGCCACACTAAGCTTGCCTCCCCTGGGACCTGACTGGCCATGTCTGAGGGGCAGTGTTCTTTTTGAGCAGAGCCAGTGGCTATGCGTACACATTCATGATTGCACATTTATTGATTTTCTAATTTGTACCCTGCTTCCTTCCAAAAGGGCCCTGGAGTGGCTGACAAAATAAGACAAAGACATAATGGGTCCATTAAGAAAAATCAAAGATCAAGGCCAAAGAGAAAAGGCAATGGTTGATTATAGCTCAAACCTGGGTTAATACAGTTACTTCGATTACAAAAATATATATTTAGCTCTCAGCTTTTTGGCGGTCATTCAGAATGTGTCAGGATTGGGCACATGGAGAAACAAGGATCCTTCCATCCTTCATGTCTTCAGCTCTGTCCCCAGAACAAAAGGCCAGGCTGTAATTAGCAGCCGGGGAAAGCTGAATGAATGAATGAATGAATGAATGAATTAATGAATGGTGGGTAAGAGTCAAGCTCTCTGAGAGCACTTTTTGTGTCCTTAGGCCTATATCACTCATGTATTCACCTACCCAGTCAACCATCATTGCCTGAGTGCTGATCTGTGCCAGTCTCTGTGCCTGGCCAGAGACTCACAGACGAATGGACACCAAATGGTTGAACATCGTTCCTGCCTTCCCAGCTGAAGCTCTCTGGCTTACGGCAAAGTTTATTATAATTTATCTCAATGCTCACCTCACTGTGAATCACCTCATGCTCCTGAAACTGATGGGAACAGTAGTAGCAACTAAAGTTACTCTGGCCCTTCCATATTCTCAACACTTTCAGAAAATGCACAGCACATCCATTAACTCACTGGGTGCCCACATGGCTGAGAGTAGGGAGGAGTAACAGCTCCCTTTACTGATAGGACTGTCAGGCACAGAAGGGAAAAGGACTCTCCAAGCTCTCTGTTAGAAGATAACCAGGGATTTCCAGTTCTTGGGCCAGACCTTCAGCATCCCAATGGTTAACAGCACCTGAAACTCCTCTGTCTGGCTCAAGACGGGCCCAGCATAAAAGACGACTTGAGAGAAGCATGTCTGAGCAGGAAGCAGTCCAACTGACACCTCAAGCAACTGAATCCTCAGACTCCAGTCCCTCAAATCCATCCAATAGCTACAGCCCGTAGGATCTTCCTCTACTGAAAATCTGACCCTGAGATTCCAGGTGAACAGCTTACACCCTTAGTACTTAGTGACAGTAGGATGAAAAGACACAGTGCAGTGCTGGGGGAACAGGACATGTGACTGACTATTCAGTGATCATTTGGTGAGTATCTGCTGGTTCTTAATCCACGGAATCAATCAGCCACAGATTGGAAATATCAGAGAAAACTGTATCTCTATTGAACACAAACAAGCCTTTTTGGCAATTATCCCTATAACATAAAGTACAACTCTTTACATAGTAAAAAAAAGGCAAGTCTAAGGGGCTGGAGAGATGGCTCAGTGGTTAAAAGCACTAGCTGCTCTTCAGAGGACCCGGGATCGAGTCCCAGCACCTGCATGATGGCTAACAACCATCCATAACTCCAGTTCCAGGGGCTCTGACACCCTCTTCTGACCTCTGCGGTCATTGCAAGACACAGGTTCACTTACACACATGCAGGCAATGCACTCATACACATAAAATAAAAAAAATAATACATTAAAAAAAAAAGAATGGCAAGCCTATAAATGACTTAAAGTACAAGGAAAGGTATACATGATTAGTTACAGGCAAATACTACCCCAATTTAGATAAGGGACTCAGGCATCTGAGGATTTGGGTATCTGCAGAGTCTTGGAATCAATGCCCCATAGATACTGACAGATGACTGACTGTACAGGGAAGGGAAGCATTAAAAAACCAACGTAGCTTGTGGCACATTCAGTGCTTACTGAGCTCTGCTAGGCAACCAGGCTGCTGGCTGCTTTTCTCCCTGCCATGTGCCAATCCAGGTGGATGTAGCCTGGAGGAATGGAAAGGGAGGACATAGCCTTTCCTACTTTTAGCAAAGTCATCTAGGTGAAGAAGAGGTCCAGAGAAATGACGTCCATGCAAGAGGAGGCCATGACAAAGTCTTTATAGATTTGTCCTCCAGAAAGCAAGCAGGACCACTTCCCTACACTGGATACCAGACCACCTGGGCCCATTTTTGTCACAGCAAAATACCATTTAAAATACATTTATATACATGGTGCGTGTATGTGTATACTTATACATAAATATGTATTCCTAATTCAGAGCTGAAGTGCACACACTGACATGTGTTTCATATTTTCCAGTTTATGCCAAAGTCTTCATGCATTGTTTGACTACATAAACCCGGCCATGGGGAAGGAGGATAGAGGCCATAGCACAGGAGCCTCCCCAGTAAAAATGTCTTCTCAGCCCGGCTATGAATCCCACTGACTGTCAGAAACTGTTCCACTCCATTCAGAGAGCCCTTGGGAGCCTAGTTCAGCCCATCATCCACATTAATCAGTGCCATCAGGATTTCAGGTTCACTGTTAATAATTAGCACTTGTTGAAAACACCCAAAATACATAAGTCATAGTCTCTACAACAACCTGTATTTCTAGCTACAACCTTTTAAACTCTCAGAATGAATAACTGCACACAGGTTTTACCACCCATCCAAAACCATTATGTAAAGTAAAGTAAAAATCAAGGTGTTTCTTCCATTTCCAATCAAACCATAAACCTGAAGACCCAGCCTTCCTTGACTATTAATGACAGGAAGTGAGCAACGGACAGGAACCAAGGGCAGGAAGCTCAGTCCACACTGATACTAAGATGGCACAAAGGCAGCCTCCTAGGAATAGTCACCCAACCCATTTCAAGGAAATTCATGTAGCAAGTTCAGATCCAAGTTAAATGCAAGAGTCTCCTCCCTCTTTGCCAAGGAGGGTCCATCACCACACGCTGCTAGTCTTCATTGACCACTGACACGTTAACTCTGAAAGAAAAGGCAAGAACCCAGACCCTGTCACCAGGATCCATATAGTATGGGTGCCACACACAGAGACAGCTACAATGTCCATGAGACCAAAGCAGGGCAGGACGTGAGGTAGAAAATAAAAAGTCAACTCACAGTCTGGTGAGCTTCGGAGTGCTCTGGAAAAGTAATTCTGGAAGGACCTGGAGCTTGTTCTTGTTCAGACGCCTAGAGAAGAAAAGAATGAAAAGGGTGTCAAGGGATATTAAATCTGAGTATGTACACCAATATCACCCTGATCAGTGGGTATTAAGAGATGCTAGATCTTTCAGTATGTGATGTTCAACACGTGTGAGGCATATACCATTGCAACAAGGCTTGAAGTCAGGCTGGAGATGGAAATCCATGCTCAGGTGCAAACCCAGCACATGTGCCCTGCATCCCCTCCTCATTCAAAGCCTGGGATAGACATCACTAATTGATCACTACCTTCTTTCCCATGGACCCTAAACAAGATTTTTGAGTTTTCAACAGCATAAATCAAATGACGGAGATGATATTCCAAGTCCTAAATAGTGGCAGTGATGGAAGCAGATGGCAGTTGCTATAGGAACAGAGAAGGCAAGTCAAATCACCACGGGTTGAGAGACCCAAATACAATCTCTGCTGTGCAGCTCTTATGAGCACAGCACGGCTGTATTGTGACACTCATGGGGTCCTTGGCCCTTTGGCCTTTTCTGGAGCTTCTTGTCTATAAGAAATTTTGACTGTGTTAATATAAAATAAATATACTAGACCTATATTATAGAATATTTATTTCACTCTAAAAGTTTATTTTCTTTTACTTTAAAATAAAACATATATGGAACCTGACAATGTGGTGGGTCCTCAGCACTGTCTCATTGTGCTTAGTAAAGAAACTGGCCCTGAATCAGGGACGAAAGTCTGGACATGAGGTACAAGTTGAAGTAAAACACAGTCCAGTAGAGACAGGGGTCATGCTGAACACATGCCAATAAAACTATTGTGGTCCGAGTCTAAGATGTCCCCCACAGGCTGTTATGGTCTGAGCCTAAGATGTCCCCCATAGGCTCTTATGGTCCGATCTAAGACACCCCCCACAGACTCATGCTTGGACACCCAGGTGTCAGCTATTTGGAGACACAGTGGAACCCTTAGAAAATGGGGCCTAGCTGATAGAAATAGGTCATTAGAGGTGGGCCTTTGAAGGTTCCAGCATTCTCTATGCTTCCTGGTCTGCTTCCATGTGAACAGCCTTCACTACTGGTTCTTGTCTTCTCCACCATGCCGTCCCTGTTATGATAGATTGAAATTCTGAAACTAGGAGTAAAACAAAAAAATCATTTCTCCCTTTTCTATGTCATGGGTCACAGTGGCTCAAAATTAATTAATATAGAAACCAACCTAAGTCTCTTCTGAGCATGACCGATGCTAAATCATAAAGGCCATCTGGGTTTCCAAGAGACACCAAGCCCCTGTCATGATGTTGATGAAAGCTGCTTTCTTGAGGTAATCAAGCAGAGAGGACCCCTGTTCCTGGTCAGCTCCATGCCCTCTGCCCTTGCTTTCTGCTGTCTGTTTGTAGCCCCACTGGCAAAAGACAGTTACATGGAACAATTATTATCCCCTTGTTAGAGCTAAGCAAATTGTTCTAATTACTTTCTATTGCCATGATAAAACACAAAAACCAACTTTGGGAGGAAAGGCTTAGACATCTCGATCATGGTTCATCACTGAGGGAAGCCAGGAAAGGAGCTCAGGTCAGGGACACAACTGAAGGCACAACTGAAGCACAGATCATGGAGGAACAATGCTTACAGGTTTCTTCCTCTGGCCTGTGCTCAGCCTGCCTTCTTATACAACTCAGGGCCACCTGCCCAGGGTTGGCACCATCCACAGTGGGCTGGGCCCTCCCATATCACTAAGCAATCAAGAAAATGCCTCACAGAGATGCCCACAGGTCAATCTGATAGAGGTATTTCCCCAATTGATGTTCCCACTTCCCAGGTGTATCAAGTTGACAACTGACACTAACTGGCACGCTGAGAAGCCCAACTTTAACCCATCTTCTCAGAAGCGAAGCCCAAGCCTGTTCAATGAACAGACTTCACCTACACACACTCCAAGGAGACATGTGCTTTACCTCCTCTTTCTCCTTCTTCTTCGGCAGGATGGGGAACTCAAGGGAGGTCAGAATGGGCCAAGCGTGAGCAAGAGAAGCATTTAAGATGTCATCTAATAAGCTCCTTTCAAAAAGTGTGCAACTCAGCCCTGACAAGGTCTGTGCTGTGTGGGTGGGATCAGGATACTGCTGGAAGACTTCTGATCATACGGAGACAAGGAACAAAACGGCTGGGAAGGTGAACAAGACAAGCTCTAATCCCTACCTGCCTCTATGGCGTCTCACTCCAGCACCAGTGCTTTTTTTTTAAGTCAAGGTAAAAATCATATAACACTAAACTGTCTGTCTTCCCAGTTTCTAAGCACACAGCTCAATAGTGTGGCGTGTAGTCACCTCATTGCATGCAAGTAAACATCCTTCCTGTTCATTGAACAATTCTCCATTTTCCTTCTGACAGTCACCATTCTGCCTTCTGTCTCTGAATTTGTTTTCTACTCTTTTGACCACTTCCAGTATCTTCTCTGCATATCCCTGTCATGAAACTGGGGGTGCAAGGCAGGGGAAACGAGTCCCTAGTTTATGTTCCTGTATGGTCCATGAAAAGTCCCTTCATGGGAAGCCACTGGTCCTGAAAAAGGCACAGTGTTAGGACCGGGACTAGCCTGTGCTGGGTTCAGGTCTGGCTGTATCAAACACTTACTGGAGAGCTAAGACAAGTTACCTAATCCTTCGAATCTTGTTTGTCTAACTTCAAAATGACTCTACTCTTTGGGCTTACAATGAGAAATAGCCCAGTGCTTGTACAAGGGTTGAATGCTGCAAAAATAATGAAGGTGTGATGATAATAATGAAAGTAAGGATGACCAGCTCTCCCTGCATGCCAAATAGTGTGCTCCAAGTTGCGCTGGCAGGATCTCACAGTGGAACTCAGGACCTGAGTTGTTATTGTCCCTGTGCCTTACAGAATGGATTCAAAGCTAGGAAGCCAGCACAGACCTGAGACCATAGCATCTCTCAGTGGTGTTGTGGCAGGATCTGGACACAGTCAGCTGGCTCCCAGGTTCTGAACTAGGACACGTAAAACCTTCACAGAATGACAGCACCCTGGCCCTGCCTTTCTTTACTTTCTCTGCTTCTTTTCATCTGGGGTTGCCTCTTCCTCCACCCTAACCAGACATTGATCCGCCCTGGGCACACTGTCCTCCCTGAAAAGAACTCTCTTGGTGGCCCTTCAGGCAAGAATAGAGTCTCTCTTTGGGTTTGTCTGGAACCACCCTCTATAGTCACAGCTGCACAAAGTCTGGTAAGAGTTCCATTCAGAAACTCAACACTCTAGTCTAAGCAAAACGCCTAAAATCCAGCCTACTGTTGTTTGCACTGGATAGGGTGTTTAGTGTGCTAAAATCCCTAAACCAGAACTGAAGCTAAAAATAAAGCCAGCTTGGCTTTGAGGCTCCCGGAAGGGAAGGAATCATTTTCATTTCTTTGCCGGTATTTGTGGCTGGACAAAAATAAAAACGCAACCAAATTTAGGCAATTGTGCTTTGCCGTCTGCATCGCAACCTCTGAATGAGAATTCTGGGCAGTCAGGCTGGGCTCTGATCCCAGGAGCCCCGGGGCCTTTCCACTGCAGCTTGGGTGGGGCACATGCCAGTTCTCCATATCAGGAACTTAATTTTGTATTTCCAGGTCACTCCAAGGTTTATTCCCATTTCTTAGTGAAACAACTGGCGGCCTGAAGGTCTTTCTCTAAAACTTTCTGTAGGAGCAGTAACCTGGATTGAATGAGAGTGCGCATAAGCCTGGAGACCAGTTAGGAGGGCTCTTGAGTGCAGAGAAACGAGAGTTGCTCTCCTGAAAGCTGGTACTGTCGTGGCACCTGCTGCCATGTCACTCTGGGCCCAGAGGTGGCACTCTCAAGTCATAATGTGAGCTAGAAGCGAACTGTATGCTGAACATACAGCTGAATGGCACCTGGATCAAGCCAGAAGTAAAACAGGCTGCAAACGGGAGGCAGGCCAGGTCAAGGATAAGGCGCATGCATGTGTTCTCCTCTCCTACCATTAGAAGCTTGGCCGAGCTTGCCTATGGATCAGAGAGCATCAAAGCCATGAAACCACTTGATGACTTGCAAAGTCACATGGCTTTTCAGCTTCAACTGTAATGCTCTAAAAAACAGAGACTTGGGGCTGGAGTGATGGCTCAGCAGTTACGAGCACTGGCTGCTCCTGTAGAGGACCCAGGTTCAATTCCTAACACCCACATGATGGCTAGCAACCATCTGTAACTCCAGTTCCAGGGGATCAGACACCTTCTTCTGACCTCCTTGGGCATTGCATGACATGGGTGCATTTACATGCATACAGGCAATATATTCAAACTCATACACAGAAAATAAAAATAACAAATATTTTTTAAAAAATGGATCCAGCTTGGGAAACTGATCAATCAAATCACCAGTGGAAGGAAGAGAGCGGGGAAGAGTACAGTGAAGAAGGGGGTGTGCTACAATTTAGAATTTCTATACCATCGAAATCTCTCAGATACAGTTCAGCAACTTAAAACTAGAAATGACACTAAAACTCTGTGTGCACACTCCTTGCATCCTTGTTAGAAATGTCTGAGAAAAGGTACAGAGGCCTAAGAAGGGCCAGGCACTTAGCCATAGCCAAATAGCCAACCTGATAGTGATGGGATCAAGCCAGACGCCTGATGCTACACCTATGGCTAATGGTGGTAATTTCATCCTTCATTATACACTGGCTTGGTTCAGCGCCTAATGCATGAGTCTCATCTTCCTAGAGCGGGAAACAGGTCTAACACATTGTGTCCCAAGGGCAGCCATCACAGTACTGGGTTCACAAGTGACCTTCAGGAGAGACTGTTCAATGTGATGAATAAACCAAAAGGCAGCAGTGGCCAGCCTGGAGAACCAGAGCCCTCTCTGGACTAGGTATGGGGAGAATGCTGAGTGAGGACCAGGTTCCCAGAGCCCCAGCTTCCGGAGTCAGACCTGCAAGGCAAAAAGCAGACAGGCTCACCACCTCCCCTCAGAGGGAAAGGACTGGGTGGGGACTTCTAGGGC